TAATTTTACTTATGGGATATGTAATATAAAAAAAAATATTATAGACGAATATTGAAAAACCAATATTATATTGAAAACTTTATTTTCTTCAACAATATAAAATAATAGATTTCGCCAAAAATATAAAAATCATGACACTTTTCAAATAACAAAGAAATAAACAATTTTCGAAAAATTATATAAAATTCAAACAATTATCGAGAATCATTTGATTCCAAAATTCAATGTCATTTATAAATGAATTATCTCTTGATGGAGACATGATTTCATAAAGAGAAAAACTTGCTAAATATGATTTTTAATCAAAATCATATACGAGAGTATTTTTGGATATATTAGTAATCTAAAAATAATATATATTTAAAAAAATTATTATTGAAAATAATATGATTTACACTATGATTTTTATGACTTCATACTTCTACTTATGACATCATGTCTATAAATAATTTATACAATACAAATATGAATACAAATAAAAATTTTAAATTGGAGAAAAAAATAAGTATATATGACATGATAAGGATGAATAGATATTGAAAGTGATAAAATAAAAAATTGAAATAGAAAAAATAATTTTAATTCAGATTTTAATCCAAATTATTTGAAAATCAAATATGAAAGGATGATTTCAACTTTTCATTCGGCTTAATTCTCAATAAAACAGAATTAAAATTGTTATTACCAAACTCTCATATACAATAAATATATGAGAAGAATGAATGAAACATGAAAAAAAATCACCATTATTTATTGCATTATCAATAATATAGAAAACTAAAATTAATATATAATTTTGAATTAAAAATAAATATAAAGAAAATAAAATATAAATTATTTTTTAAAAATATAGCTCATTATTAGCTGGATTCATGAATTTAAACTTGTATAAAATATTGTAAATATCAAAGAAATATATTTTAGTAATAAATCGAACATTTCAAATTGACAATTTTCTAAAACTCTCTATAGATTTATAAAAATATAAATTACATTAAAATAGTATCGAAAGAAATCAAAACATTTTTTTAAAGTTTGCCACGTATACACTGTCCACAAGAAACACAGTGAATTTTGAAAAATAAAAATATGAAAGAATCTATTTTGAACTCACTATTATATTATTAATGAATATATATTATTTCTATTATTTTATAAAAAAAAATTATTATTTTTTTTCTTCTATAATAAATTATTAAATAATTATTATTTTATTTTTATTGAATCAAAACTATTTTTTATATAATATTATTAAATTGAAATTATTGATGATGGTACGATAATATAGATAAAAAATGTTATCATTAAATTACAATTCAACTTCATATATGTATATGTTATATATTAAGTAAACGTAAATTATAAAAACTAGGCCGCTAAGAAAAAAGTCAATGCCGTCTATTTACACAATACACAATTCCTCTTTTCAATCAACTTTACTTACGATATCGTCATTCAAATTCATTAAAATTATTGATTGAACTATTTCAAAAATATGTATAAAATCAATATTACTAATAATTTAATTAAAAAATATTTACATAAAATAATTTTAAATTTAAATCTTATATCAATATTTTCAAATTATATATCATAATAAAGATGTTTGTTCATCAAAATTTATAAATCAACCAAAAATTATAACAACAAATTTTTATTTGAAAAATCAAAAAAATAAATTATTAATATAAAAATTAAAAGAGAGAGAATTAAATGAGAATAAATATAATATAAAAAGAAGAAAAGAGAACTAGTTATATATACATATGTAAAATCGGAATTATCTATTCATTTTTCAAATATTTATAAAAGAAAAAAATGAGAAATAGATAATATTTCATTTCATAAGACAAATATCTTTGAACAAGAAAATTAATATTTATAAAGAGCATATGATAATATAAGTCAAGAGGAATTATTACAATTCCCTTGAACTGATCTTTATTCTGAATTTATTTAACTATATGTGTCAAGTAGGAGGATACAGACATTATTTTTATCCGTCAGATCTATTATCGATCTTAAGCAGCGCTCAAGCGCGTCTTCTGCAAGGACAACGAGGTCGGTTCCGCGTGTTACGTTCGATCTGGTTATTCCTATTTCAGGATACCGATCTCGTTAAATCGATACCCTTCTGACATTTTGTTGATACTACATCGAAAACTCGAAAATATAAAATAATAATCAATTAAATATCATTTTCTTATTAAATCATTAATAATTTTTAATTTCATTAATTTTGTTATTATTCTATACACAATATAT